TTTAAGCCACCGGGTCTGGGACTCGAACCGCGGTCGACTATGTGGAAGTCCAGTGACATAGCCATTACGCTAACTGCTGGTCCCAAGATTTTTTTTTAATTAAAATAATTGTTTATTTAATTTTAGTTATTCATTTATTTTAATTTGATCAGAGAGAAACAGAGAGCAAGAGTGAGAAAGCAAGCCATCAGGTCTAGGACTTGAACTGTGGTCAGCCATGTGGGAGTATCTAGTGCCTTAACCACCACGCCACCTACTGGTTCCCATAGGTCAGTTTTAAAAAACTAAGTAGTGTCTTCCTACCTATCTCCAAATACATGTCAAGAAAAAAAGAAAGAAAATAAAAACGGTTTATGCCAAGCCAGTTCCATGGCGCAGCAGCGATGAGCTAGCTCAGTAGATGCTGGGACCCCGCGTGGCTACCACGGGCTGAGCCCTCGACCCGTCACTCTGAGACACAGACCGTGCCCACGAGCACCCGCAACCCGACGGGCTGGGAGGCTGGAGGAGCCGACTGAGGTGACCAGGTCTCGCAGCGGCGCCTCTGTCCTCACTCACGTGCTCGCACGCACTCGATCACAGGTAAAGAAAAAATGGTTAAAGTGGCAAATTATGTACTATACCGTAGCAAAAGGAAAAAGAAAAGAACACAAAGCCTTGTGCTGAGCTAACCCGTGGCGTGTGGTGAAGTGGGGGACCCACGCCAGCTGCGGGTTCACGGTGCAGATCTTGCAGCCCGAGAAGCTGGGGGCATGAGCATGCCCAAGACTGGGAGAGGGGAAGGCGGACGGACTGTGATGGGACTGCTTCCCAAGGGGGTGTCTGCTCACTCCCCGTCATCTGGCGAGCACACGCACACACCAGCAAATGAAAAAAGAAGGTCCAGGAGCCTCAACTCTCCGGGAAGATGGCGGCCCTGTCGGTGTCCGGCATTACCAGAAAAGGCTTCACGTGGCTAATCTCCAGGGCGCCACGCAGAGCATTTTGGTCTCCATCCAGAAAAGAAAAAGAACCAGAGGTGACTGAGACAGTGGAAGAGGAGAACCTATCCTGATGTGTCCACCCTTACGAAGCCGAACGTATGTACCACCTGAAGATCTCCAGAGTCATTCCATCCAGGTAAAGCTAAAAATGGGACGGTGGGTCATATTCACGGAAAGTAGGAAGAGAAACTGAGGAGGATGAACCGTCGAGTTCAGAAGGGAGTGTCGTGATGTTAAGACGGAACCCTGGTCGTGCGCCTGATAGGGCAACGACGAGTAAACGCTTAGGGTGCTAAGTTCCGAAGCTTCAGCGTTGGTCTCTGGAAGTGGTTGGGCTCAGTCACCTACCCTCTTGGCCTCACTCTTTTTATAACGAAAATACCGCACGTTTCCCTTCCGCTTCACTCATTCATTTATTAAGTAAACAGTATTGACCACATGTAGGAGGCACCGAGTGTGGTGTCAGCAAACATAAGACTTTTGGAACGATCTGCTTGAAAGGTGAACGTGGAAAATATCGGTAAACTAAATTCATCTGCAGGTTATGTTTCCTTCACAAGGAAGATTCAGAAATGAAGTGCAGCCTCCTCATTTTATGTGTTCACTCTGAATCACTCAGCAAGTAGGTATTAAACGCTTACTCTGAGCCAGCGTTCTCTAAACTCATAGGATACAGGAGCAAAACAAAGTCCCTTCTCATCCTCTAAGTACTCCGACTTATGAGGAAGCTGAGGCCCACAGAAGGGAAGTATTTTTATTTTTTCAAAAGTAACAAAGCAAAGTAATGACAAAACTGCATCTAGAACCTAAATCTTTTAATTCCCCATTTAGTGCCCCGTTGCATTGTGTGTAATTTGATGATACATTTGTATGATGTAGATAGCATTTAGGACATTAAAATTTACAGCGGGATGCCTTTTGGATTGTACATAAAAACTACATTCCAGAAGGATTTTTCTCATCAGATAATAAATATAATAGCTCTTATTCTTCCTTGGTTAGTGTTATTATATTGCAAATCTCTTCCAAGTGTATTTTATTTATTCCCTCAAATATTTTTGGACTGTTTACTGTATGCCAGGCTGTATTTTAGGTATTAAAGATAGACTTAAGTGTTAAGGATAAAGTGGTTAGTAAGATAGACCAAATCTTTGTCTTCATAGAACCTGTGTCTAATGAAGGAAAAATATTAACAGGTGTACAATATAATTTCAGAAACCAGTACACTATGAAGAAAACTAGAGCAGTATATAAGATTACTGAGATGAAAGAGATTTTTTTCTTTCATTCTTTTCAGTTGTATATATTTCAGGTGTAAAACTTGATGTTTTGATACACATATTGAACTGATTTCTACAGCCATGCTAATTAGCTAATTATCATATTCATCTCTCCACATAATTACCTTTTTTTTTTTTTTTTTGAAGTGTGGTGAGACTATTTAAGATTTACTTACTTAAAAGGCCAGGTGATGGCATAATGAACCTACATAGGAAAGGTTCCTGGAACCTCCCTGAGCATGCTAGGTGCCCATTAGTGCCCTTGATATGGCTGGCTGAGCCTCGAAGTGGATGCCTGCTTGGTGTTGCCTCTCTGTCTGTCTGTCTGTCTCTCTTTCACAGAAGAAAGAAATAAATAAACTAAAAAAAGATTTATTGTGGATGCCTGCTTGGTATTGATGTTGCCTCTCTGTCTGTCTCTCTTTCACAGAAGAAAGAAATAAATAAACTAAAAAAAGATTTATTGTCTTACCTAATTTCAAGAATACTCTATAGTAGTTACCATGCCATACATTTACATTTCTAGAATTTATCTTTATATAACAGTAACTGTTGGGTCATTGGGGAAGTCATGGTGTATTTTCCTGTGTTTCTCTATGCAAAAATGCCTCATAACTTTTTCAGTGACCCAGTACTTTTGACCAACATCTTCCCAATTCTTCTACCATTCTTGGTAACCAGAGTTCTACTTTCTGTTTTGATACATTTAACATTTTTAGCATCTACATATAAATGAGATTATGCAGTATTTCTCTATGTCTTGTTTATTTCACCTAGCATATGTCTTCTAGGTTCATGCATGCTGTAGCATATTTCCTTTATTAAAGATGAATAATAAACATTCCATACACACACACACTATCCATTTATCTGTCAAGGAGCATTTAGGTTTTCTTATCTCAGCTATTGTGAATAATGCAGCAATGAACATGGGAGTGCAGATATCTCTTCAAGATACTGATTAATTTTCTTTGGATACATAACCAAAAGAAGGATTGCTGCATTATATGATAGTTCTATTAATTTTTTGAGAAATCTCCATACTGTTTTCTATAATGAATTCCCACCAGTAGTATATAAAGATGACCTTTTTCTCTACATTCTCACCAATATTGGTTTTTCTGATACTGGCCATCATAATGAGTGTGAAGTAATATCTCATTGTGATGATCAGTGATGTCAAGCATCTTTTCCTTGTTAGCTAACTGTGTCTTCTTTAGAAAAATAACTTCAGAGAAGTAGAGGAGTTGAAGAGTGACTACTAGGGAACCAGCAGTTAGCGTAATGTCTATGTCGCTGGACTCCCATGTAGTTGACTGCGGTTCACGTCCCAGACTCGGTGGCTTAAAACTCACGCCGGGCGCGTGTGCGTGTGTGCCCAAGATCCCTAGAGGAGAATGGAGGAGAAGGGCTTGCGGCGTGACCATCCCCCCTGGGGGGTGATTTCTCGCTTTCTGTCTCTATGTCTCTGTCTGTCTGTCTGACGAGTGCACGTGCCCTATAGCGAAAACCTCTCCAAAAAAAAAAAAAAAGAGTGACTACTATATGAGGGGGCTAGAGAAGGATGTTGATTAATGGAAACAAAATTAAAGATATATAAGAGAAATAATTTCTATGGTTATTAAATACAGTAAGTTGGTTATAGTTAACAATTTGCCATGTATCTCAGAATAACAAAAATAATTTTTGAATGCCCCCAATAAACATGGCTGAATTAATGGATATACTAATTACCCTGATATAAGTAATACATTGTATTCTTGTACTGAAAATTACATTCCGCACACATATATACAATAATTATCTGTTGATTAAAACAAAAGTCAATCTAGGTCCTCTGTCCATTTTTTAATATGATTGGATTTTTTGATACTAGTTTGTTTCCTATATATTTTGGATGTCATCAGATACCTGATCAGATATATGCTTTAAAATAGTTTCTCCCAGTCTATAGGTTACCCTTTCATTTTATTGACTTTTCCCCTTTTTTTTGGTTTAATGTATTCTCACTTGTTTATTTTTGCTTTTTTCTTGTGTTTGTAGTCATATCTAAAAAGACATTGCCAATACCAATAGCAAGGAACTTTTTACCTATAATAGTTTTTATAGTTTCAGGTCTTATGTTTAAGTTTTCAGTTCATTTTGAGCTGATTTTTGAATATGGTGTTAGGTAATGTCTAATTTCATTCTTTTGCATGTTTTTCCACCACCATTTATTGAAAAGACTATCCTTTCCTCAGTATGCATTCTTGGCACCTATCAAAAAGTATGCATAGGCCACATAGACATAGATTTATATATGGATTCTCCATCCTGTTTCATTGATCTATGTGTCTGTTTTTATGCCAGAAGCATACTGTTTTGATTCCTATGGCATTTGTAATCAAATTTTAGATCATGAACTGCAATGCCTCCAACTTTTTTCTTTGGCTCAATATTGCTATTGTTATTTGGTCTTTTGTGATGCCATATGAACTTTGGGATTTTTTTTTTTCTATTTTCTTTGAAAAATATTGGAATCTTGATAGGCATTGCATTTAATCTGTAAATTGCTTTGGATCTTGTGGACATTTTAACAATATTGTTATTTCAATTCATGAAGATGGACTATCTTTCCATTTATTTGTGTCTTCTTTTGTTTCTTTTATCAGTGATTTATATTAATAGTTTTCAGTATACAGTTCTTTCATGTCCTTGGTTAAAGTTCTTCCTAGGTATTTTATATATATATATATTTTTTTT